GTAACACCAGAACAAGAGCAGRCTGAACATCACAGTTCTACTACCACCCCAGTTCCAGTCCAGAAACCTATTCCAGCTCCACGCAGGTCTAGTAGGATCATCAAACCAACTCAAAGACTGATTGAACAGATTTGAACTCTGAACATTTGAACTGTTATTGACTTTGTTATTGTAATATTGTTATTGATACTACCCCATTCAGCTTAGAGGGGAGGTGTTATAGCATCGGGCTACCTGTGCTATTATTGAGTCCACTATATTTTGKGTCAGCWGTTATCAATAAAAGTGTGTTGCTTTGTGGACCGCCATTCTGTGTCACGAGTAGTCTTTCTTATGAGAATTTGACATTTGTAAGATAAGAAACGTTTTGTAGCCCTTTTTTTGGCTTGTTTCAGTTGCGACGCAGTATAAAAGTCATAAAATATTCCACTTTGTGAAACTGTATCTTGACTTGAAATCAATTGAACTTTGGAATTTAAAAGCCTGATCTATTGCTTAAGCTCCATAAGCTTATTAAAACTAACTGTTTATTGACATATTTGAATTTTTTTCGGAAGCTTCGTGGTCTTCTGAGATATCTAGTGTAGTTAAGCTTCGTCAAATACACTGAGGGGAAACTTCTGCCTTTGTCTTTATACTTATTACTGCTATTTCCATCCGTGTTAGATTTTTGTAAGATAAGAAAGTTTTTAGCCGTTTTTTGGCTTGTTTTAGTTGTGATGCAATATTCCACATCTCGACTTGAAATCAATTGAACTTTGGAATCTATTGCTTACAGTAAGCTCCATAAGATTATTAAAACTAACTGTTTATTGACATATTATCTTTGAATTTTTTTCGGAAGCTTCATGGGTCTACTGGATATATCAAGTGTACACGTAGTTAAGCTTACCTGAGAAGAGTTTTTTTTCCATTATTAGTGTTTTATATCCTTGTAGATTTTAAAACTACACCAAGTTATCTTGACCTTTCTTGATCTTAAAGATCAGAAAATGTGAATTTTTGACACTTCTATGCGGTTTTTCATTCAACAATCCCACTTCGATTTTCTCGATGAAACCAAAATTTTCAATTCTTTCTATTGCTCTGAAAAGTCCTCAAACTCTTCGCGTTCTGCTGCGATAACTGTGTTCGAAATACTATATGCATAACGATTAACCTCGCGATGATATTATTTTATTATTTCGGCATTTGACCATACATTCTTTGTTCTTTCGTACGCGCCTGTTATCTCGTAAGGGTTGACTCTAATCCAAACAAGTCTGCCCATCAAAGTTGTAGCTCGTGCAAAATGACATACTTCTTTGCGCCGTTGAGCCCAAAAAATGCCTATTTGAGACACTTCTATGCGGTTTTATATCCAACAGTGACACTTCCATTTTCTAATAATTCTAAAAGGCTTATATAGTTATAATATTTTTTGTAATAACACTACTTATGAAGCTGAAAAGGGCCCATTCTTATGTAATTTTGGTCAGCGAGTCCAATTTTGGCGTGCACTTTGTGCGCAAATCAATGTCAGGGGGGGGTAAACAGCATTTAAAATCTTATTTTGCCACTGCACGCATCGTTCCGAAGACGCACAAGGAAGTAAACATGACAGTCTGATGCTCTATTGCACTTGAAAAGTCTCTGCGAAGAAACCGTCTCAATACAACATCACAAACCTACTCTAAATGCTTACCATTGATTTGACCGAGGAGGACTGGAACCCATAAAGCAA